AGAACTCCATAAGTTCCTCTCATTCACGGTAGAATTTTTTCATGTCTATCTTGACTGCAAAGATCGGATTTTCATTAGGTTGCACTCACCAGGAGTTTTGCATCTGGCGTAGTTGAATCTGGACTCTGTTGCGGATGCTCCTCAGTGCAGCTGACTTTGCTGTTGACATTGGGTCATCATGTAGTGCATTTTACGTCCAACGTTTTTGCTCAAATAGCATTTCGATCACTGTGTTGTTTTCGTCAAATCAATCCCTTTTTTCCTAGTAAAGGGTCCGAGGCGCTCAGCGGCTGTGTCATACATCGTCTCTTGAAGTGTGTTCCACGATTTTCCGCGTCCTGGTTGACCAGTGTGATGGTATCAGGTGTAGGTGTACCCACATACTTGTCTTCAAAGTAAATGTATATACATGTTTCGATAAAAATGATGATTTGAGACATGCATTTAATTTCTTTGTAAGCCGTTGGACGTGGTATAACTGGAAGAGATTATTTAGTAAAATCACCAGACAATATGTGAGTCACGGAAGAGATGTTCATTTCCTCTAAAATCTTCTACAGTACTATGAGGCGCATCCATTGCTTTTTGTGTGATAAAGTACATTCGTCCCATATACTGAGTTGACCTCTTTTGAGTTCTTGACACATTCTATATTTTTTTTATTATACGGCATTTTGGTGTCTCGGGGATTAGCATACTCAACGGCAAATTAGGTGTTGAATGCGCTGTTCGGCCAACATCCAAAAGAGTTCCTGCAATTGCAGATGATGCGATTGCAAGTGCAATAACTTGTTTATAATCGTATGGTTGCCAAAATTTGGGGAAATAGAAAAGTTTTGTTTGTGTCTCCGGGTTAATTTAGGGAAAAAAAAATTAATCGCTGTGTCTTGTAATTGCATACATAATTGTACGACAGACTCTGCGCTGTTCTGGAAACATTTTCGGAATATTCATTTGAACAAGTGTACCCAGTTCTTCAAAATCAATGTGTGTTTCTCGTTGAGAAGTACGATGGAAAATGTTGTTAGCAGATCGATTCGGAGCAAACATTCTCAAATCTAACAGTACTTTGTTAGCGATTGCCAAACATATGACCTCAATTGAAACCATTGCACCATTGTACACGTTTGGATTTTTATTTTTTGCACTTAAACGATGTAGGATGTCTTAACCCAATTAGTTTTTTTGAAATCTTCAGTAGAATTTCTCGATTGGATGGGAAGTACGTTGTAAATTTGATTGAAAACCACTTGCGTATTTGCTGTGGTATAGCAATAGTCGATGCAACAGAAAGCAAAGTGTCACAATGTGCCTCGTTTTCCAGAATTGTCAATTCTTGGCAGGTTTAACGATTAGTTGCACATACTTGACGGTTTCACGTTCTCATTTCTTGGAAGGATGTTAGTCAACGTACGTTAATTAACCTTAATTATATGTAAATGCACTCTGCATTGTTTTGATGATAGTGCATCGGTCGAATGTCAATTTGGGTGTTCTTCAAATGCTTTACCCTGTTTGCGACGTTGAAACTTTTTCGCTGAAGCAAACCCTGCACAATGAGACAAACGCATTATCGTTATTGTTCAAGGTGACAATGCTCTGACACATGTATTTGTTGTTGTGAAGTACAGACGCTGTTCATTTGCAAGGTGCGCTGCGAAATGAACAACTTTTTGATGGCGTTCGTTGATTGAAAATGATAAAATGCGTAATATTGTTCATTGCTATTAATTTAGCGTCAAAGATAATATAGGTAGACTTCCTCGATGAATCCAGTTGCGTTTTTAACACCGAAAACTGCCACTTCGCTTCCTTTGTTGATACATTTGCAAATGCAATTTCCGGTGAGTATGAAGATAACTGAATTACATTTTTATTTGTACTGAAATTGTTTAAAAATTATAAAGAGTTCTGTAATGTTTTTTTATAATAAGAAGAATGTATTTCAAGACACTAAGTTATGTCTTAAGAACGAGATAGGCACGTATAGGCTCGAGCTTTTGATCATATTGCAATTATAATAGTTTGTGTTTGTCTGATTTTACATCTTGTTATATAGGAATTTTTCAATGGATCCCTGCTTTGATCGAGCAAATTTTTTGTGCCTCACAACTTCAGACTGTAATTATTTTCGTTTTATTCGTGATGTAGGTTGATGATTTTTGCTGTATACACGATCGGCCATCTTTGTTGAAACACTTCTGCGAATCGATCTGCAAACAAGCTTTTCAATCGTGATTTAAAACGAGAAACGCACTTTGACATCGAAGAATTACGTACATTTGTTCAGATGAATCTTCCGAAATTAGCTCCAGAGCAACTCATAATGTATGACAGAATTATACATGCAATTACCAGACAAAGCGGTGGACTGTATTTCCTAGATGCACCTGGAGGCACATTATATATTCTAAATATTATAAGATATATACATATATATATATANATAAATATATATATATATATATATATATATATATATATATATATATATATATATATACATATATTACAAAAGCAAGGTTGACAGGTTTTCCAAAGTGCAGCCTTGGTCAGACGACCTATTCATTCCCCTTCCGTATATTCGCCCTTTCTTGTCAAGCTCATCTGATATTTACAACTTGTTAATTTCAGTTTTTCGAGATGAAAAAACTTTTTGAAAAAATAAAAATTTAATAGCTTGTTGACGTACATTATGTTTTAACAAATATAAAATACAATTTTTTTAAGGTCCCTATTTTTAATACTATAACATATAAATAGAAAATATATTGAAAAAAAAATGATTAATTTATCGAATTTTACAATATTAGGATACGTTTACAATAGTTTGCAACATTAAATATATTGTGCAAATGTTTATTTGAAATAAATGTAATACTTCATCTCATATAACATAAGATAAAATCTTCTCTGTATAGAGCTCTTTATACACGATAAACATGATCAGGCATATTTACGTTCAAAGGAAAGAAAAAAAAAACATCAAAACAAAGATCCTCAAACATTGTGCTTGCATCATGTGGCGTACCACCGCGCTATAACGCGACATTGTTTTAATAGTTTGTGTACATTTATGCTTTATTGAGCATCCCTGGTATGTGCTAGCAGGGACGACATTTATTGGGTATGGCTGGGTGGAGCATTTGTAACTCCCACCCCCCACCCATCCCTGAATTTGAAGGTTTTATTTAAATCGCTATATGCTGTGGTGCCCCCAGTAATAAACAACTCAACAAGTTTTGGTTTTGCGCCCCCCCCCCCTACACCAAAAAGCATCTGAAATGACGCCCCTGTGTGCTTCACCGCTTCGTTCAAAGCAACGATGATTGACAGAAAAACACGGCAAAAAGTTCAGGTCTTGGTACCTTACTTTACATGATGCCACGTTTCCAGGGGTGGGTCAAGAGTTGTGGAAAATGTGTGTCATGAATGCAGAGGCGTAGCGAGAGGGTTGCAGGGGGTTGGACAGATGTCTCCGAGCGCTAGGTAGTTAGGGGCGCCAAAATGTGCTTTTATATTATTTTATTGATGAAAATAGTGGGTTTGAGAGTTGAAAATAAATAAAAAGGGGCGCTTTAAAATGGATCTTGTCCCCGGGCAGCGAATCTTATCCCCGGGCGCCAAACACTCTCGCTACGCCGCTGCATGAATGTGTGGAGATTTTAAGGCCTTCTATTATCCAGAGTGTCTAACGTTTGAGACCTGGATAATAGCTGTCAAAAAGCAGAATTTTATGAATTAAATCTTCAAATAAAAACAAATTTTGAAGCCGTTGGTAGCGTGTATGTGTCGAAGCATGGAATAGCTGGTGAGGGGAAAGGTTGAAACATTGAAACTGGGTGCATAGTGCATTTCAAAATACCACTGCGACATTGCACAACAATGAATGCGTATATTTCATGTTGACAACTAAAATATAGGCTACTACAATATGTGGTAAGGTTTGACAAAGATACTATTCTAATTATACAATACATTTTTAAGATGATTAGATCTAGAAAAAAATAAAAACGTTAATGGCCACATTGAAGCCGGATCAATATGAAAGTCAGTCTCTTTTTTTAAACAACAAAAGAAAATATATTAGAGAGCCACTAAATTAAAGATACGTAGACATAACATTTCCGTATACAATCAGTTTTTATGACGAAATGTTTGCCAATTAGGGTCCCCATGTGTCCACTATTTGAGCGGACAGTCCGCTTTTTTCACTTTATTTTCACCATTTTTTTTTCAAAAATTTATTTACACGCTTTTTTTTTATTGAAAAGCTTTATAATGAAATAGTAGGTAATCTAAAGCTGTACAGCCTAAGGGACGTATTATTATAATATATTGATGTTTTGAATGTTGAATAAATTTTTGAAGTGATTATTTTAATGTGTTGAAATGATTGTAAGAAGTGATATAATATCACTGTAACATTAAAAAAAAAAACTAGTTACTACTTATCATCACCCCCTCCCCCGCCCCCCCCACCTAAACCCCCGCGGGCCAGTCAACTATTTTTTTGTAAGCAGAACTGGCAACCCTATTTCCAATTCTAAACGTATTTTTGAAGGATTTTTTCTTATTGTTACTTATAGATTTTCGATTTATCGTCTGTTATGACAGACTCATTGTAAGTTTATCTGTGACCTACGCTGAAAAAAAAAATCTTCTTCAAAAGAAAGGACAATCAAAGTCAGACACTGATAGGACCGCCTTTGATGTGTTGGCACGGACAGTAGGCTGGGGTACCACGCTATATAAAACCCACGTATAAAAATAATAATATTGGCCATTCATTAAGAATAACGAAAGTGAAGAAATGATTATCATCATAACATTTATTATCAGCGATCCTCATCCTCACCTCCTACATCCCACCCCCACAGACCCTGGCTTCTTGAACCCCTTGGCCTTGGACTACACACTGACACGGGCGTGTACTTAGGTTGACCTCTTGCCGCAAGCGCGATAATGAATGGTTTGGTCAGCTTATCTACGGGTTTTTTCCCGGCTTCCGGCTCTCAAACAAACAAACACCATGCTGTTGATTACCTGTTTTATGATGGTGTTCATCTGCTGTTGACCAATTAAATATAATTTATATGTTTAATGAAATTAATTCAAGCTATTTTTAAGCGCAATACCCTTGATCTGAACACCGCAAATGGACCATTTAGGAAAGCTTGTTATTCTTCTTGCAGTGATTACCCTGGTTGGCGTAGGTAAGTGTTGAAGGGCCTTGACATGACCCTGATCAACTTGGTAAACTAGGGCCTACCTGCCTGCTGTTGCTTTTAAAAGCTAAATTTAGAATGGACGTCAGACGAGCGTAGTGTGTAATAGTATTCAGAAACATTTTAAATCTTCAACTCATTATGTTCACGTAGGCTGATAACGATACCGTGTTTTTTGTCAATCCATTGACAATGTCAATAGGCAATAGGGCTGAAAATAATTCGATACTATTTTACGAGCTGTTTCCAACTTTCTCACGTTTAAATATATTTATTTTGGCCCCAAAAACATCTATTTTTACGAAGTGGATGCGTACACCGCGGCGGTGTACCTAGCGAAGTCGTGGGCTTTGGCCTGGGTACACCATTCGCCTGGTTTTAAGAAAAGCCCATTTTAATTAAAAATATTTTTTATTTAAATTATCATGTTCATTTGTAACAGTAGTTTCCTGAGAAGTTTTTAAATATTTTATAGCAATTAAAACAATTTAAATTGAATATATGTTATATTCATATTATGAACTAATTATTAAGTGTTTCAACAAGTTGTGCCGGCCTTTGACTTAAAAAAATACCGGTAATTTTAGTAATATGAGTTGACATAGAAAAGAAACTGAACGTTTCTGAAAGCGCATGTATAGTGTATGTAACATGTACCGGTATACACTTTATCAATGATATCATATGAATATTAATGTGCATGGTCGTGTTTCCAGAATGGCATGGGATATGCTATTCTCAGGTAAAACACGACGTTTTCTCACAGAAACCATTGCACAATGCGCTTGGGACAGGATTTGAGCTATTTCAAAGTTTTTTTTTATCTGTTGTTTTTTGCTAAGAAATCGATCCTTACCGGGGGGTGGGGGTGATTTATGGGCAGAGGTTCAACGAAAATTGGGGGCCTACACAAATCATGGCTCTGGATAGGGATTAGGGGTTGTCCACAAAGGACATCCGCACAAAAAACTTATCTTTTGCACCCCCCCCTCAACCCGGAGAGGGGGTGCTGATGGCTGCCGGCATTTTTTACTTATGTGTAATGCCAATGTAAAACTAATTCAATGATATTTAATTATTGTTAAAAGACTTTTAACAATCACTGCAGTGTTTCGTATTGATCATCATANGCGTAATTATTTCTTGGTTCTAAAAAAATGGATACCCTGGCTTCCCTTTCATTTTTACACCACGCTCCGAGGGATCACATATAATGTTATTATTATCATGCCTCCCCACCCCCACCCCCCCCCAATTGTTGTTGTTTTTTTTTTTTGTGGGGGGTGGGGAGAATAATTTCAAATTAGCTACCCTTTTTATGCCTATTAAGATTCACAATCATAGGATAAAACTTTAATAATTATTAAATAAAATTGTATTTTAATATATGGGGGGAAATAAAGTGGTTAACTTTAAAAATAAATCGTGGTTTAACATTACACCCCCAGCCCCCTCCCTTCCAATAAATAAAGCCATGCTTTACAAGTACTTTGCCACACAAGTTATAAGCGTGGAACTTACTCAAAAGCTTCCTCCTAAGGTACTCAACCATTTTAAAGATATAGTTTTCAGTTTTAACAAGAGTATAACATTAAATCTACAAGTACCAGTTAGGCCAAAAAGTTTAAGACTCGCAAAGACCATGGCTTTGCTACTTTAAATCGCTGCGGTGTACGCAGGCCACAGACAATGATTTAGCTAGGTACACCGCCGCGGTGTACGCAGGCCAAAGTCAATAGTTTCGCTAGGTACAACACCGCGGTGTACGTAGTGCCGGCCTTATTTTTAAGCGATGAGTTTTAAAGAGGAAAAAAAAAATTGTTAGAAGTCTGAAGGTTTAACGAGGCTAAACTTACGTAAGTTTAAAATGCAGTTTAACAATTTTCTCATTCCTGAATAATAATATTGAATTGCCCTTTAGTTATATGTACGCGTCTACACTCGAATTTTATATTAAAAGCGTGACAGTTATTACTTTTTACGTTTTACATATTTAATGGATTTAAATCTCTATCTAAGAAATTAAATCATTACTTTATGGATGAAATTTGAAATGTGTACAGTGTACAGTCACTTTCTTGCTTTATTTAATATATTATTTAGTCTCTTCCTAGTCCTAGCCATGTGCATTATGTTTGTCTCTGTCCCTGTTGTCTCCTAGTTGTCTAGTATAACCAAATAGCCTCATCCCCAACTATTTATGTCTGTTTGTGTTTTACTTCAACAGCTTCCCAGAAGACATGCCGTTTGGAATATGCCCATGTCTTTCAGTTTTCTTGTGATGTGGCCACTCTAAACTATTCAACCATCACCTGGAGAGTCCAGCAGTCGGACCCCGATCAAATAGTTCCATTGAACAAGTGTACACTTTCACAGTGCCAGGCCACCAAAGATTTTGAAGGGATATTTTTGGCGTCAGCCACAACAGACCCATCATTTTCAATGATTGTAAACAGCATTTTATATGGGAACTTGACCACAAAGAATTACACTACTTTGAAGACCTATTCGACCTGGAGAAAACTTGAGTGTGCCCATGACAATGGAGTTGTTAATGTGTGTGACACCTTTGATGTTTATGGTAGGGATAGTTTCATCTTAAGTTAACAGTGAAAACACTTCACTACATACATTACTCAAAACCTGAATTGATACCCATTCAATATATAATGTATGAACTTGTCATTCTTTTTTTAAATAACAATACATACATTACTCAACACCTGAATTGTTCACCATTCAATATATTGTGTATGTACATGTCATTCATTCTCTTTCTCAGTTACTCATATATAACAAAAGATACAACACCTGAACATGTCATTCTTTCTCACTTATTCTGTGAATGTATATATAAATATATTTATGTATCTATGTGTGTATAAAGGTAATCTTTTTCAAATAGAGTGACCTCCAATCATCAAACTTACAATTAAACCAATAATTGATAAAGATGAACAATAAATATATAATCTCCCCCCCCCTCTCCTTTTCTCTTAAATAATCACACTTTTTAAAACTCAATCTTGTTCAAAATGTAAGTTAACTCACTCTAAGTGCAAATACTATTGTACATGGATCCATTTCAGCTGATGCAAGGATTACACAACTATCTGCTAACAATGATACACAACTGACTGCAAACATTGGAGACAAAGTTCACATTGAATGTCTCGCCAGCGGCTTCCCAGACCTCAGTGTGTGGATTGGTAAAAATGGCACTACACTGACCGCTGTGGGCCCCGGGCAGGGGATGGATGTGACCTTGAATACTTGCCTTGACGCTGCCACTTATGTGTGCCGGGCAGAAAATCATAACACTGTGGACGAAAAGGGCATAGATATATTCATAAACTGTTAGTGCCTTTTTATTTTTCAGTTAACCTAAGAAAAATTTGTTTCAACATTTTTATACTTTTTAAACTTAGGTATTGAAACTAATACATTTGTTGAAGTTGACATCATTATGGAATTATCATTTATTTGTAAGATACTTACAAATATTCAGTAAGGTAAGTCAGTTTCTTGTTGGGGTAATTAGTGGAAACAGACCACTATGAAATCTTGTTGCATTTTACCTCATTATAATGTTTTTTTTATTTTGAAAACTAAGTACAATGTTATAAATCAACAAATAAAAAATTTTAAAACAATTAAGTAGAGGGTTCCCTCCCTTTCCTATATTCTTCACCTGCAAATTTTTAGACTATGTCTCACACTTTACATTTTAAACTAAGTCTTAAAACCACTAAACAAGTAAAAATGTATTTTAAATCTAGTTAGAAAAATAAGTTGGTAGGGGGAGGGGGATATACTAGTTTTTTAAATAGAATTAGAGAGAGACTAATGTAATTTAAAATGTTAAGGTAAACATGGCTTCAAATGTCAATGAAGAAATATAATCATATATTGATATTTTAATTATGTCTTCAAAGTAAATGGCTCCTGTGTATTCATAATCAATTTTCCCTTTCCGCCCTGGAATTTAAGGGTTGAGTGTGTCCCAGGCTGGAAAACCCAGAAACAGCGCTATGATAAGAATGTACTAGCATTTGTTGCAATGTCATAGATCCTAAGTATGTTAAACTCATAGGCTTATATCATTAAGTAAATAGAATTTACTTAATGCTCAGTGGAAGAGTCAATCGTTTGATACTTTGAGAATCTATAGTAAATGCAGTCTTATTAATTTGTACTGGACTAGCTAGATAATAGCACAGCATGTGTATATGTTATTTTTTTTTTGGAAAATGTGTTTACATCTTTATATATATATATATAATATATATGTATGTATATATTAATATATATATGTATATATATATTTATATATATATGTATATATATATATATATATTTATATATATATGTATATATATATATATATATATATATTTATATATATGTATGTGTATAATATATATTAAATCATTTTTCAATATTTTCTTGATGGCTATAATATATATGTATGTATATATTAATATATATATATATATATATATTTATATATATATGTATATATATATATATATATTTATATATATATGTATATATATATATATATATATATTTATATATATGTATGTGTATAATATATATTAAATCATTTTTCAATATTTTCTTGATGGCAATCAAAGGTTCCCTAGAAATAATGAACACCACTCAAGCTGTTATCCATGCCCATCTGTATGATAAGCCAACAATCACAATCCATGTGTACGGACATCCATCCCCTAATCACTTCGGTTTGAATCGTGCCTCTGGACAGAAGGTTGATAATGCCACCACTTTCTACAGGATCAAGTACTACAGAGATGAAATTCCTTATGGGCGTGTGGAGGTTCAGTTCTATCAGCTGAAGGAGTCTGATTTCACCAATTATATCTTGGCCTTTGGCAATGATATTGGTGAGGATACAGTGTACAGCTTTACCTTACGAAGGAGTAAGTATATGATACAATATTATTTCTATATATACCACTTGACTTTAGAAAGTGGTTTTAACAGCATAATTTTTTAACATATGAATTGAATTATAATTTATAATATCCAAATCTATTCAATATAAAGTGGTCACAGGGCTAGTGCAGACTATCCCAGCTAAAACGTTTCTCACCTTACAGAAGCACGGTCACTTAATCAGAGCCAAACGCTAAAAAAAAACTGACTTCACCTCTTGACAACTCCATGAGCAGTCACATCCAGAATAATAGTAAATTCTTCACTGTGCCTTGGTGTAACACAGTTCAGTATAAACAATCATTTTTCCCCATGAACAATAATTGCTTGGAACCACCTGGACAATGCCGCCATAGACTTTACATCAATTGAGAGTGTCAACGCTTCCTTTGCATTCCCTAGGAGCCGTTAGGCTAGCGGCATTGCTTCCCCAACCATTGTACATATGCCAGGACATGAATGCAGCAATTTACCCTATCAGAAAAAAACACAATATGGCTACAAAAAAAGTGATAATATTAATTAGGGGCAAGGGAGCCACTTTTCCAGATTATCCAGTAATTCCGGATTTGTGAGGCTAAATATTTTTCAGCCCCAGATTTCTGAGTTTTTATTTTCTCTCACTCTGGATTCACCAGTTCAGTTTATTCAAATAAAAATTCTTGGTTTTAAAATAAAAATCAACATGTGAGATTGCGTTAAAGCTTATTCATAATAAAACAGGTTCTGCGACCTCTCGCTTTTATTTGCAAGTCTCTTACTTTTGTTTGTTATCATTGAAGGAGAAATTATTACTGAAGTGTTTGGTTAAGTTTCAGGGTTTCATCAGTGAAAGAACAGGAAAAGCATAATTAAATGAAAATAGCATTTAGCTGATATGTAGAAACTGAGAGGGCAGCAAGAGCAATGTGAGATTATGCGTATACCATTTTTGTGGTTTTTTTCCTTCCTTCATTTTAGTATTTTAACATCGTAAAATATTTTGATGTTGTATTATATTAAAGCTGCAAAGTTTTAAATGAGTGATCAGAAAAAGCAAGTTACAAATTAAAAATTTAGAACAATTAAAGAGACCCATCCAGTACATTAATGTTCTATATAGTTTGATTACTGAAATAGCTCCTCATATTGTTTTAAATGCTAAAGTACATCTTAAACCATTTGTTATAGTTGTGACCTCTGCTGCCTCCATTGTGAGCACAATGACTACTGCTGGATGTGTGGTTTTTGGAGCAGCTGCTATGATCTTAAGATGATTCATTAATTTTGAAATAGTAAGTCCCTTTATCTTTTTCCTCTTTTTTTTTTTATTTAGTTTATCTTGTCTTGTTTAGACTGATGTCCCATGACTTTAATATGAAATTAACCATACTAGAGTATAATGTTGTGTATATATATATATATATATATATATATATATATATATACACATATATATATATAATATATATGCCAATCATTTTACATTTTTTTCCTCTCAGTAGTAGAGATGTTTTTTGAAGAAAGGGAAGAAATCATCTGTCCTTAAATTCTAATTCACTTTAAATGTTATTTCCCCTTTTCAATATGTCTATCATGAAATATAGTGCTAAACTGTATTTTGAGTAGCCAATATAGTATACATTATTTAATTTTGACCTCTAGTGGATGAAATCTAAGAGATAGCTAATACATGTGTGTGTGTGTGTGTGTATAATATCCATCGATATATATATATATTTATACAGGTACATATATAAATGCGTGTGTATATATATATATCTTGACTAAATCATGCCAAATAGGCAAGAAATAGGCAAGGACTAGAGAGTGAGGCGGACAAATTAAGCATTTGTAACTCGCAATAAACAAAAAGCAGCTCGCGTCATGACAACTACTTACTTTTTTGAGCCTTGGTCATCTTCTCTTGTAAAGGAAGTACTATATATATATATATATATATATATATCTATATACATATACACACACACAAAAGGTTTTAACTATAAATTAAATTTATTAAAATTTTTGAGTTAGTTGTTTTCAAATATTTAAGTTTTGGCCATTTAAAACACATAATTGGTGTATAACAACTGTGATTTACTCACAAATATGACCATGCGTTTGTTAAAAACAAACATTGTTTAAACTTGGCGTGCCTCAGTTTGTGCCAAAAAAGGATTTTCTTTTTAAAAAAAGCTATTGGAGCAATGAATAGCGGCCACTGTTTGAGTTCCTCAAATTTATTTATAAAAAGTCACGGAAATAAATATCATTTGTGTTAAAATTACAATCCTTGAAAGAAAGAAGCAAGAAAGTGCTGTCAGTTAAAGATCTAATTTCAGAATTAATTATTGTTTTTTTTTTTTTTTTTTTGTATAATTTGAATAATAGTAGCATAGATTTATCATTTCCAAATTTAGAAGCAATAGTGAATAAAGAAAACTGCATTTTCCATATTATTTATCACTTTTTCAGAATTAATTATTTTTTTTTTTTTTTTTTTTATTGTATAATTTGAATAATAGTAGCATAGATTTATCATTTCCAAATTTAGAAGCAATAGTGAATAAAGAAAACTGCATTTTCCATATTATTTATCACTCATTGTAATGTATTTCATAATCTGCTTTGAACCATTTTTTTCATTTTATGCTAAAAATAAAATAATTTAAATGACACTGTAGCATACAATAAAACAGAACATTGCAAATGAAATAAATATTCATTGCAATTGATGAGCATTGCAATTTTTAAAAAAGAATGGAAGAAAAGTTAGCAAGAAAGGATAATTACTGAAATATTCTCAGGAAATGTAATCACCAGCTTTGAAATTTAAGTAGGATAATCAATGATATATGTGTATTATTTAAATGATGATATATGTCTATGATTTAATTTATGATGTATTTCTATGACTTAATTGTTATATGCCTATGACTTACTGATGATATATGTCTAGGTCTTAATTGATGGTGTATGTCTATGACTTAATTGATGATATGTGTCTATGAGTTAATTGATGATGTATATCTATGAGTTAATTGATGATATATGTCTATGAGGTAATTGATGATGTATGTCTATGAGGTAATTGATGATGTTTGTCTATGAGATAGTTGATGATATCTGTCTATGAGGTAATTAATTAATTTTCACTTTGACCAACATAACACGATACATAAATGTAGGAATTCAGTGATGAAACTCTAAGCATTTTCAAAGGGTTGTGGTTAACTATGTGAAATATTTTAAATTCATGGGCAGCTGAACGCTTTCTAGTCTCATTGCTTTTACCAAAGGAAACATACTTTTGCTAACACTTAAAACTTATCTAGAAAGGTTAACATGTTAGACTTTATAATCTAAGAAAGAGTTTCAAAAATTGATGGCAAGACATGATCATGACATTTTCTAAAATATGTTGAATTCTACAAATTTTATTATCATATATGTTTTTTTACAAACTTGACAAATTGAATTATATTATTTATATAAATATATGTTTTATACTGTTCTTATTTTTGTATTCATTATGCTCAATATGTAATTTGTAGCAAGTAATAGATTGCCAATGCTATGGGTCCAGTTAAATGAACTTGGCTGGACTTGAACTAGAGAATGTTGGAAAATTAGCATTTGCTGTATAATGTTACAAAAGAAAATGAAAGGAGTAAGAGTGCTCTCCCCTTCTCCACCTTTATTCCCCACCACTAAAAGATGTATCATTTATATGGAATTCCCAAAATTGATTTCTATCCAAATATGTTCACTTTATTTTTAATGCCTTCAAATTGTTAGGAAATACCCCAGAAAAAAAGAAACAGAAATGATATTTTAATGATCTGTAAAAAAAAAAAAAAAAAGAGAAAGATATATTAGTTTGCCAAACTGCAAAACATTTGGTTTTATTTTTTTGGTTTTATTTCTTTTTATTACAAAAAAAACATCATCATTTTTGTTTTGTTTTTTTGTGAAAATATGGATTTGAAAAACTGCACTCGAAACACATCTTTTTAAACTCTGTTACCCTGACTGATTCCCGCCTCTGACCGAAAAACGATGCTGCTGGGTGTCGTCCATGGCTTGACATGTAAATAGTTTTAAATATACATTTGTTTTGTTTTATTTGTATGTTAGTTAATTTTTTAAGTTTTTTATTATGTTTGTTAAATTGTATGTATAGCATGGTGAGCCCAGCACTTGGCTGGGGTACCACGTTATATAAAACCACTTGTAATAATAATAATCATATAATTCTGAGTCTTTTTTTTTTTTTATGTCCCTTTTCATTTCATGCATTAACATGAGAGGCTAGACACAAGGATGTTAATTATTTTTGTCTAAAAGATGATTGTAATAAAATATATATATATATATATGAACATGACTCAGTTATGGTAATTTTCTTTCTTCAATTAGCTTGCTAGAAAAAGAACAATAAAATACACACCTGTACAATCTCACAAAAACTCCAACAAACACAACAAGAGCTGCTGCTTTTGTAAAAGTGAAGATGTTACAGAGAAACAAGGTCGAAACAAATAAAATCTTGTCTGTACTTACGGACCCCCCCCCCTCTTGAACCTGCCTTCGTACCACCATGGGTTGGTGGTGTGTCTGATTGAGAACCCCCAGACTGATCTAGACTGAAGTAGAAGAAACGCCTATGCTATCCACGGACTTTTGACGTTTTGGCACGGGGTTCTCGGAAATTGAAAAAAAAAAAAAATGTAGGCACTTTTAAAAAATATTTTTATAATCAAATATTTGGAGGTGGGGGTAGTATGGGTGGGGGTGTGTGGGGGGGGGGTGGGGGCTGTGGGAAAGGCTTCTTCGTTTTAATATGCACGCCTTGGCATTTTTATGATCAATCTATATTTTTTTTTCCTCTTCACGGCAATATCAATAACAGCTAGCTATACCTTTTGGGCACCATAAACATCATTTCTCTAGAGGTAAGATCGTGGTTCCTTCTACAATCTTATAATTTACTAGTGAGGACACATTTCTTGGTCACACTAAAAACCAGCAGTATATAATTAGCGCGAACAATGAAAATCGGATTGACGAATACATAAATAAAGGCATAATAATAATAATATCATCACTATTTATTTGTATTTATTATCTAAAAATGGGTGTATTCTGGACAAGTAAGCAAATGTGTGTGTACGTGACTTAGACATGACATAATTTCTCAAGCTCAAAAAAGAATGTATTCTTACAGCACTTGTAATGTTCAGCGAGTTAATTCCGAGGCGTCGGTACCGAAACACAAGTTCAAACTTTCCCTGTACAAACATCGGCCTGAAATAGTATTAGTTGCCCATTGTAAGTGTGGGGGGGGGGGGGGGGGGGGGAATTTTCCACCTCGAAATTTAAGTTTGTGTAAGTTGGCGCTCGGAATTAGCATTATAATAATTGACATAGTTAGCTAAACTAGTTTGTTTTACAAGCATTTGAGTTGTGTGAGTTGAAAAGGGGGGGGGGGGTATTTGAAAAATTACACAATCAAGAATTTAACCCCACAAAAAACACACACAAAGAAAGTCGAAGATCGGATTCTAAGTCAACTTTTAATAATGCACCACACATAAGGGGAAAAAAAAGTGTAACATTTTAAAATGGCGCACTATTGAAAGGAAACAATTCTATTATTCGCCTGTACAAAGACAACACTTTTAAAAGTCAACAGCTGGAATGAAAGGAAAACAAGTGGTCGGAGTCGACTTTACTTTAATGAACTGACAATGACACCTTCTGATGAGGTGTTTAAAAAGATGAGGTTTGACGGTGTGTTAAGAACTGTCCACAGTGTAGTAGCGGCATTAATGCTTACTCTTTTCTACGGTATTGATTTATTAATTTATCTGTAGTTTGCCCATCACCTGTAGACATTGTTAAAGTTAATCTGCGGTTGTGCACGTTATAATGTAACGTTGTAAAGGACGCAATTGGAGAAGATAGATGATTAGAGCTATTCAATGTGATTCTTTTTTGTTCTCTTTGTTTTCCCTGTGTGTGTCAGCGAAAGATCTTATGATTATTGTGCCTACTCTGTGGTATTGTTCAAATACCGGTATCATTTTGATTTTTTAATAATTAAAAAAAAATATTTTTACCAATACAAAAGCTTTATTAAAGGAATTTCAAGTATGTGATTTCCGCCCTTATGGCTTTTTATAACAGGATAAGTGAACCTTTAGCACAATCTATTTATGAGTGGCAACAAAAGAAATGGGACGGTGATTCTAGGAACTGGGTGGTTCAAATTGTCCCACCCCATCCCTATTGTATCGGTTACCAGTGTAACACCAGTGACATTACAACCGGATGACTGACTAGCGCTGTTATTCATGCGCGTTATTTTTTTTTTTTTAATGAGGTGTGGGAAATATTTTGTAATGCGTTGCCTTGAAATGTAAATCCATACACTCGATAAAGTTAGAGGACAAATTTCGCCAGTGGCGAAGCGAGGTTTTAAAACTAGGAGAAGCCAACTAATGATGATACTGCCAAGGAACTAAAAATAAATTTAAATAATATAATTATAATTTATGCATTAATAGTTTTAGTATTATAATTATTATTTTCGTTTCAAACATGATAAATACCGAAACAGTTGGGAAACGAGCCTTAAAGTAAATCATTATTAGTGAGATAGAAAGATTTCGTGGTACGGTACAAAAGAAGGGTAGCTATCCTCAAAATCCACATTTCAAAACATAACATGCTTTGCATATTGTATTGGAGGAGATGCTTTATAATTTCTATTTTCCCGTTGTGTCACATATTTAACAAAATCGTGATAGAAGCCACTCCTCATCCCAGGAAACCCATGATTGAATTAATTTACTTTAAAAAATATATAATATAAACTGAATCGAACAATGCCTGATTTTGTATGTGTATCGTGGCGTAAATGTTTTTTTCTTTTATAATTAACAGATGAAAAAAATCACTGTTAAGGTTACTTCAGAGTTTTCCACTAGCTTCTAGGGGCTTCATTCTTTTTCCTGCTTAGCCCTAGCAGCCCTAAAAGTAAATAACAAGCGGAGTCAGATATGAATGCTTGTAGAGAACAAAAACTACATTTTAAAATATTTTGTTTTTACTTTATATTCGTTTTGCATTCATCACAGATGGCCTATTCTAGTTTCTAATCCGTCATGAAATATTTTCAAGCAAACCTTTCTTACAACGTGTAACAAGCTGTTGTTTCAAATACAAAACAATTAAAAAATACCAAGTTATGTATTTAAGTTGTACAGTTCTGTCTTATTAAGTTGATTAAGTGAGTTTTTAAAAAAAATCTTAATACCGGTACAATGGTGGTAATAACCTAGAATATAGCGCAACATCCCTACGCTTAAATTTTGAACAGTTTTTCATTTTCTTTTTGCTTCTTTTTTTTTGTTCTGTCTGCTGAAGAAGGCTGTTAGCCGAAATGTTCTCCATTGATTGTCATGTCTTTATATTTTAAGCTTCTAGATAAACCTTGTTCCTCTATTTCACATAGCTTGAGCACAGTGGTTTATTTATTAACCCTTGAAACACCCTTCATTTATTATCCTTTTATATGCCCTTTATTTATTACATTTTGATACTTCTTCATTTATAATCCTTTGATACGCCCTTAATTTATTATCCTTTGACACACGAACCACTTGGTATTACAAAAAAATACTACCAGAGACCAGGGTCTCAGCCCATAGGACGCGACCCCAAAATGTGTTTTCAAAGGGATTTGTGTGGGATTGGCTAAAACAATAGACCAATAGAAGTAATGTTGCGTAGATAATTTACTTTTTTACTATTTATAATATGAATAGTTTGTGTTTAAGTTTGAATCTTAACTTTCAATCATTCTTTAATTGCAATTACATTATACTGAAAATCTAGTTTGAATATCTATTCATTGTCAAAGTAGAGCTTATTTTATGATGTGTTTTTTTTTTCCCTTTCCAGTGTATCGCAGGAAAGGCCACTTTGCTTCTATAGGAATGTGGTCGTGACTTGAAAACGGTTGAGACTCTTTGCTGGAAGTTCTCAGTTTACTGAGTCATAGCAGTTGCTAGATTATACAGACATCGTCTTACAATGACAATCTTCTACTTCCTGAAATAAAGAATAATAACTAACAAAAAGTGATTGTTCACGGGTGGACTCTGAAGGTACAAATGCTCAACAAGGGTTGATCCACCCATTTTAAAACAACCGCATAAAAAAGCCAGTTTTAAATCATCAGGCAGAAAACGTTGCATGCCAACTCTCGTAGTTCAATAAACGGTAGGAAACTATATGCAGACAATGATGCCATGCTATCTCTTGTAGTGTTATAAACTGTCTATACAGATAGCTGCCCCGCCCAACGCCACGTTTTATAGCTACAGTGAAATGTGTTATTGTGAACAAATCTGCATGCACACTAGCAGACCCATATTCTCCCGATACCACAAATCCAATCACAAGTTGATCAATGAAGGAGATTAGTCGAGAGACTATTGGACAATACATATTAAACACAGTAAATCTCATGTTTAGAATCAGACACCACCACATGAATCTATTCTTTGGTGCCCATGAATGAAAAAACAAGCTAACAAAAGAGCTTATTAAAGACAGGAAACACACGACAATAAAACCACCCATGCGAGATATTTTATTTTTATGCTGGAATATGTTTGTTCATGCCCCCGACCCCCTACCCCAGGAAACATTAAAAAAACTAGATATATTTCCTTAATTTATAAAAGTCTTTAAATTTAAGAAAGAAGAAAACTTATTGTAAAATTTTACTACGTCCAATAGAGAGAAACTGAAACATATTCGAGTAATTAACAGAATTCAAATTCTATTGGGGACTAAACTATGGGCTAGTATTCCACATGAGCAATGGTTGTGTGTTTATATACAAACTTTTTGCTTTGATGTTGTAAAGATCTGCACCTCTAACTAAAAAACAACATTTTACTCCCGAAATATGAAGATAAAACATTGTGTAGTTAAAGAAAGGTTGTTTTTATTATAAATGTTACTGATAGATAATGAAATAAAAACAATTGTCATTGAGAAGTTTAGCCATTAAATGTGTCTTAAAATTTTATATTACTGTTTTCATGGGTTTTTTTTGTTTGCTGTGTTATAGCAATATACCGGTACTTATGTATTTGTATTGCGTTTGGTGAATGATTAAAAATTTCAGCATGTAGTTTTAACTTATTTAAGACTAGACCTTGAGAGGCGCTATGTTATCAACTCTTTCGAAAACATCGAGTGAGTACAAAGCAGTATGTATGACCCGTTAATTGCATTTAACATTATTTCAATGATGGCTTTGTTAGTGGAATGTAAAATAGTTTCACGTTAAAAGTTAATACTGAGTGTATACCTGTTCCTGCTTTTTTTGTTTAGTTAAAATTTATATTAATTAATACGTATTCAGTTTTGGATATATGTATATTTTGTTTTTCAATATTTGCCCATTAAATTCTTTCAAGTTAAGAAAAAAAGAGTGTGTTGATTAACCCACCATGTAGCAGTAAAGTTTATACTTACACAAAGTAGTTTACATTTACTCAAAGTAGTTTATAGTTACACAAAGCAGTTGATAGTAACACAAATCAGTTGATAGTTACACAAAGCAGTTTATAGTTACACAAAGCAGTTTATAGTTACACAAAGCAGTTTATAGTTACACAAAGGAATATTTTGTATTAAAAAAAATATTTTGGAATCGCCTTTTAAGTCATATTTTAGCCATTCGCTAACACACTGACCTATAAACGTCAAAAGGTATAAGGAATACATTCAATTTATTTTAACCAGTTACGTTTGAAGATTGGGCTAAGACTAGTCTAAGCTCTGCCTAAAATGACTAGGCTTAGCATACTTTGTAATGTCTTAGTCCCAATAAGTTGAATTGCAACAGTTTTTTCTGTATGTTAATGAATTTAAATTACGTTTCCTGTTTTAGTATATAGAGTTCCCTGAGTTTCGATGGAAGGAGGTGCCTTGTCTAGAACAAACATATTGACAATCATATGACCATTCGCCGGTGATTACATTATAAAAGGTCTTTATAAATCAGCATTAGGCCATTAGGAAAATAATTCCGAAACAGATAATAAAGTTGTTTTTTCAAAAAATAAATTTAGAACCCCTCCTCCTGTATGCATTCGGTTGATAGAAGTAATATTTATATATAATACATTCATCACTACTACCACCCAATGTATCAACATGTAGGACGTGACCTACATTTGAAATCTAATCACTCCCCATTCATATTTGGCCTATCCACTTGGAGCTGTTGAGGGCTAAGCGTCAGATTCACGTTTTTCTCTCTTACGTGGATCACTTGAGCTCTGGGGACTATCAAGTTTCGTTCATTTGACGACCGAAACTGGGGAATGGGATTTCCGTGGGGCTAGAAGGTTTCGGTCTCTAAATAGTCGTAAATATGTGGCAGGATGACGCTTCAAATTCGACGAATATTTTTTTTTTTTTTCAATCTGAAATTTAATCTCCTCCAGTATTATTTTAATTTGTTATTATTTTGTAAAGCATGACTGAAAATGAGTAGCTGCTTAACATTTGTAGGCGCTAATAAAAGGAGGAAAAAAGCTGCTGAGCATTCAAAGGAAAATAATGAAAGACCCCGTATAAAAATAATACAGTTAAATCACAACATTAGGCTTCCTAATAATTGTTTTTCCTTTTTTTTTTTTGAGCTTAAGTTTCATAGTTTAATAAAGCAGTGGTCGGCCCGAGTGCCAGACTTGGCACGCAAAGACCCAAAAAAATGCATTTTAACTGGCAGAGTTACTATTTGTTGGGATTCTGAAAGAAAGAGAAGTCTAACTTTAGCACGCTAGTACCAAAAGGTTGACGAACATTGGTTTAAAGTATTTCTAAGAAAAAAATCATAGGGGGTTTAATATTTTAATTAAAATTGAAAATATTTCATTGATTTATTCCTTGATAATTTAAAATATTCAGCCTTAAAATCGCTGAATTACAAACACATATTTTTTTTTAAAAATATCTTAGGGAGAAAATGTCTGTTTAATTCTAGTGTAAATTTATACGTTTTTGTTCGCAGTTCATCTCAAACAATTAAGTCCCACTCCTCTCTGCGTCAGTTAAATTAGGACAGCAGATATAAATAAATCTCTCGACTCAGCTCTTGACAACGGCACGTTTTGTTTTTGGTCATATCTCTTAGCAACATTAAAAAAGAAAAAAAAAAAAAAAACATTTAAAAAACATTATGAAAATTTAAACGATTTCAAAGCGTTATTTTGAGAGAATATGTAAAGCTCACAAATTCATCTAATTAAAACAGCACTTTTTATGCACTTTTATTATTATAAGTAAAAAAAAAAAAAACAAAAAAAAAAAAAAAAAAAAAAAAATTAAAGAGAAAAAAGAAATAAAAAAAAAAAAAGGAATCTACACTAAGATTTAAAATAAGCAATAAGTGGCTGGAGTGAAGCTGAAATACAAATACCCCTTATATATATATATATATATAAATATATATATAAATAAATGTTTAAATGGTTCTTTGTATACATGTCACGTATGCGCTCCTTTACCAGTCATCCGATAAAACTTTGGTTGTTGTGCGCAAGCCCGCAAAGTTTTCTGAATAATTACAAAAAATAGAAATTTAGGTTTCTGTAGGTGACATAATAAGTAGGTTCCTGATTTAGTACGACCATTTTATAATATTCCGTTTTTTGCCTGGTGCTCTAAATTCGTGTTTAACTAATATTCTCTATATAAATATATAAACTCCGCATGCGTTCCTATGCCATTCATCCGATTACAATAAAACGTTGGCTAGTTGTTCTGCGCACGCCCGCAATATTTTATGATTAGGACAACCAATGTTGCCTCTAAGGTTTGTTGGTTCGTGTGCAGAATCATAAAGTTGTGTGCAAAGTTTTACAGCATCAATTTTTTTTGTGTGCAAAGTTTTACAGCATCAATTTTTTTTGTGTGCACAATTTTACAGCCCACAGACACAAACACACACTTAAGTGGAATTTAGCTGCGCTGTACTCTAAACTGTGCGCGGCGTCTTTGAGATTGCTGCGCGGCCGCGCAGCTTAAAGGGAACATTATGTACAACCATTTTACAATATTCCGTTTTGGGAAGGGGGCCCTTAATTCGTTTTTCACTATATGAGACATATAAATATAATTTTAAACAGAGCTATTGCATGCGTGAATAAATCAATAAAAGTGTGTGGACTATATGTTCAAAATGTCTGCTTCTCACTTGCACTGCTTCATATGGCCTGCTCACGCGCCTAAAAAAAAGAAGAAAAAAAAAGTTTAATTTATTCGTGTACACACTAGACTTGACGGGAAAGCAATAAATATTTTTTATATAAAAAGTACTTCAAAAACATAATTTAAACACAACCACTTTCTTTCTTTCAATGGCATTGCAAAGCATGTTGTGTACTCGCAAGTGTTTTATAAACTTTAAGCACTTTATCTAAAAACAAACAAAACAACTAAACATTCTTTGTCCTTATAAATTCTACACTAAAATTGTATTGTATGCCTCAAAATGTGTATGACACATTTTAAAAGGAAAAAAGGAGAAAATATATAGACACATTGAGTTACTCATAATTGCACAAAGAAAGATGTTAAGACTCATCCCCGGTCTAAGGAAATAACTCGTTAAGATCACTTATATGTGTACAGTGCGTCATTGCTTTAATTTTTTTTTTTTAAAATAAATTAAAGTGACACTTGAAAAGATACTGATACCGCTATATTAATCGTATATTACACAAAGTATTTTTTTTTTTCAATCAATATTGTTTTCAATTTTAAAGAAAAAAAGTAAAATATCATTTTTATTACCCGGACACAGAGTCAAATATACAGGCACATGAATACATTTTCATTTTTAAAGTGTGCACATTTGCTTTTAATTTACGCTTGAAAAGTAAACACGGCATAAGAATATGTTTCAATTATTTATCTTAGTTTCGGTGGTTTTAAGTTGTGAATCAAATCTGAGAGGTAAGTTAACCTTTCTACTCTATTTATATTTTTGTAACGCCTGTAACATTAAAACATTTACGGCTCTACTAACATATAAAAGAGACTATTTTTAGTACACGATAAGGATTTCGCATTCACATTTTCTCGCGTAATCCCGTTATTACTGAAAAAAAAATATTTTTAACTTGATAACAATTTATTATTAGTTATTGTTACCATATTAAAAATGAAAAAAAAAAAAACACTATTAATTACGATAGACGCTAGTCACTCAAATATGAATTACTACGGACATACTACAATATTGAATATATATATTTCTTTTTCAGCACACTTTACTTTAGAAATAAAGAACTCGCTTTTAATTTTAACTGAGTACCAAAGATTATATCTTAAAAGGCAAGAAAATTATCTATACAATTTATTTTGACAACGAAATCCGACGTCATGGATTTGTCAAAGAAATAAGAAAACACTTGGCAAAAAATGACTAAACTAATTAATAAATACACACTCAGGCATCAGATGACCCGAACAGAGTTTTACGCAATTTTATTTTACCCGTCTCTATTTTTACATTACGCATGGTTTCTTTGCAGGCCTATATTATGCGTTTTAGGATATTGCATTATATAATAATTTACCCTTTTCAAAGGTTACAGGAAAGCTGTTTAAAATTTTACTTTCATTAATTTTTTTTTTTTTCTGTTTTAGAAAACAAGGCCGGCACAAATATCATATTTACAGCAAACAACGTCACGTTTAAGGAAGAGTCCAGATCCCCGCTGCTTGTAACATTAG